AACAGAAGTAAAAGGAAAAAGAAAAAAAGTGGGTTTAGAGTACCAAGTATAAGCAGAAACGGATGCCGATGTGGCTCCACATCAGCATATTTTTCATCACAAAAATTTTAACAGTAATTGATGGATTGACAAATTTGAGACAATTTTGTAGTTTGCTGATTTGATTGGCACAAATTGAAGTTCAGTGACCTAAGTGGCAATTTGGTATAAGATTAGTGACCTCTGGTGCAGTTTATGCGATTATTTTTTCATACAGTTGACGCACTTCTGCCATTCTTTGGTGGAGAAGCATTTGATAGCTTGTAATTCTTCATGTTCGTCATTCTTTAGTATCAAGCTTTGATGTGAGACGCATTTTTTTTGTTGCAATTTCTCTTCATAATCAGTTATGCACTGTTTGTCTGCCCCTACACATTTATAACTGTTGTTGGATGTTTAAGGAAATTTTAACTAGATTGTTTCTGTTTTATCCAAGATGACTTTTGATGTAATATAAGATAGGCTTCCTAATGACTCCCACAGTTTCTTTACTACCACAAAATCTGAACTTAGTGCCTCTTTTAAGTATTGGGAAGATTCTTTTTTAGATCTTCAGTGATGGACAATTGTATGCTGTGGAGTTTTTATGTGGGCCAAACATGTAGCAATGCAGTGTTTTCGGTATCAAGAAATATCAAGTTCTGCTCTCTTTCTTCTGTAACTCGTGTAGTTAATGGATGTGGGTTGAACATTTCATGCTTTTTCTATGTTGTAGGTACATATTATGCACAGCCTTTTCAACTACTTCTGCATTAACAGATTGGAGTAGTGTATTTTATTCTGTTATATACACATCTGTCCCTACTATTGTTGTTGGCATTCTGGACAAGGACTTAAGTCATAGGACACTCCTACAGTATCCAAAACTTTATGGTGCAGGGCATAGACATGAGGCCTATAATCTGCAACTCTTCTGGATAACAATGATTGACACACTATGGCAGAGCCTTGTTCTGTTTTATATCCCTCTCTTTATGTATAAGGAGAGCTCGATTGATATATGGAGCATGGGCAGTTTGTGGACTATAGCAGTTGTTGTTCTTGTTAATATTCACTTGGCAATGGACATTCAGCGTTGGGTATTCATTACACATGTTGCAGTGTGGGGATCAATAATGATTACATATGCCTGTATGGTGGTATTGGATTCTATACCTATCTTCCCAAATTACTGGTTAGTTTCACTTTAGAGAATAAAATTTCTTGGTTAATGATTCTAAAGTTTTATTGCATTGAGTTTGTATTATTCTCACATTTGGCAGGACAATCTACCATCTGGCAACGTCACCCACCTATTGGCTCACCATTTTGCTCATAATAATTGTTGCTTTACTTCCTCGCTTTCTTTTCAAAGTTTTGCATCAGATTTTTTGGCCTTCAGATATTCAAATAGCCAGAGAAGCGGAGATATTAAGTTAATTGCCTCCTAATTTGAGGTCAAAACCAGATGAAGGTTCCAGTTAACATGTACATTACACCCGCTATTGAGATGGTTTTCTGACTATGTCCATCATATGGCTGTCCTGTCGCATGCAATTGTAAGTTATGATACATGCATGTTCCTATCTTTTCATATTACTCAAGATTCATACACCTGTTACTAATGAAATTAGTCAACATTTATAACAGAAGCATCCTTTGTGAACTGTTTTCCCACAATTAGTAACTTTTTGATATTGAAATGGACAAAATGTGGTGATCACCTTTGAGAAAATCTAGAAGAATCTTTCTTGGTTGTGATTCACATGATCTAAGGTCTTTAAGAAGGTTTGAGGGAATATTTTTTTGCTAGTTTAGATGTCACTAAATAGCCTTCATATGTGTTTTTATTGGTATGTTTGGGAAGATTAAATTTGTAGATACCTGCATGTAAACACTGTTCCATGCAAAATTTGAGGCAAGTGTTTATCTTGTATATTATCTAGAAGCTGGAAATTTTATATGCAGCCTTTCAAATATTTTACCTACTGTGCTTTCCTTGCCATTTTGGGACTTGTTTTGCATTAAGTGTTACTTGCATGCTGTAGTCAGTGTGGTACTAAAATCTTTTGTGCAAATGCGCTTAATGCTTGGTAGAGTAACCTTTCTTAGTCGTGAAGGGTCTAAATATTGAACAGGGTAGGCTTACCATTTGCCTAGCCTGGAATGGAGTTCTTTCTAATATTATGACATAATGCTTCAGAGAAATTTTGAAATTGATAGCAGCGGTTCCTTCCACCCTGCTTTCATGCTGCTAATTTAGGGAGATAAACACAAAATAAGTCATCCAGCTACTTATTTACTCTTAATTTCTTTGAGCTTTGAATCCAGAATTTCATGATAAAGATAGTTTGGAACCATTACTTTTGATCAAATGCATTAATACTGCTTTAG